CCATTAGAATTTATCCACTTTTTTTCCTCATGTGTTCTAACATTCTCTGTGAGCATTCCCTTTAACAAGTTAAGACTATGAATACAGTTATGGAGACTGACTCAAGTATCAATCATGTGCTTCATATCACTTTCTAAATGTCCAGAAATTCTAATCAGAGGTTTGGTCACCATACCTACATCTCAGTTAGTTAATAGAAATATAGGGACCATTATCTACAGATAGGTCAGTCACCATGTAGACTTGGTCCATCTAGGGAATTGGTCTCCAGTGTCTGATTCAAATTTGAAAAAAAAAAAAAAAAGCATGTTAAAAGGCTTTTAGGTAAAGATTTTCTTTTTCTTTTTTGCCAGAACATTACAATTCCTTGGCTGTCATATTTTGGCATCCACTGATTTGAGTTGGGGAATTTGCTAAACATGGAGGTAAAAAAGAAAGTTGCTTTCTACTTCAAGATTTCCAAATTTCTGGCAGCAATCTAAAAAACATATCTCGGGGCGCCTGGGTGGCGCAGTCGGTTAAGCGTCCGACTTCAGCCAGGTCACGATCTCGCGGTCCGTGAGTTCGAGCCCCGCGTCAGGCTCTGGGCTGATGGCTCGGAGCCTGGAGCCTGTTTCCGATTCTGTGTCTCCCTCTCTCTCTGCCCCTCTCCCGTTCATGCTCTGTCTCTCTCTGTCCCAAAAATAAACGTTGAAAAAAAAAAATTTCAAAAAAAAAATAAATAAAAAAAAAAATAAAAAACATATCTCTTAGCTCTATCTCCGGGCAAAAGTGTTTTGCTAACATTTCTCTTTTTTCCTGACCTTTTACTTCATCGTTAACATACTCTATCCATCATTTCACCCCCTCTAGTCTTAGGATATAATCAGGATCTGTAAAATTATTCAATAAGGGAATCTAATTGCCCTAGAGGAAAAAGGGACTTTTCTCTCTTGGAACCCAGGGGGAAATGGGCAGCCTAAAACTCATGTCAGGAATTTTTTTAAAAGAAAAAACAAAATATATACTCTTAAAAATGAATGCATATATATCTTTATGTCCCTTCAAAATTTACTGACTGAAATGATAGCAAAAACATGGGTAAGTTCAAAGAAAGTGAGATGTTGTAATCAGACACGGTTGGGATTTGGCATTTTACATTTGTGTCTTTTGGAAAGACTTTTTGTGAGACTCTCTGGTATTTTGGTGCATTTCCAAGAGATATTACGATTTATATATTCATCCATTATCATCCAAAAAAGAGCCAAGTATTTTCTCAAAAGCAAGCTTAGCTCGATTTTCTTACCAAAATCCACTTACATGCGAACGTGCAAAGTTCAGATAGACCATCCAAATCAAGATGATCCATATCAAGATGAGAATCTCCTTAAACTTTTTTTAAATGTCGATTTTCATTGTTTGTCCATTTCTATAGGCTTATAAGGTTAGTCTTTTTTTTTTTTAATGTTTATTTTTGAGAGAGAGAGAGAGACAGACAGACAGACAGACAGAGCTAGAGCAAGAGAAGGGCAGAGAGAGGGAGACACAAATTCTGAAGTAGGCCCCAGGCTCTGAGTTGTCAACAAAGATCTTGACGTAGGGCTGGAACTCGTGAACTGTGAGATCATGACCTGAGCCGAAGTCAGACACTTAACTGACTGAGCCATCCAGGCGCCCCGACTCTATGATATCTTGCCATCCATTTGGGTGTGCCTTCTAGCAGCTCATCGTTCCCTTGAAGTCTTTCAGGATGCTCTGGCTACAGGTCTCATGCAGCACTTACTTTCATTTACATCCATTTTATCATGCCCTTTCTTATATCCTGCACCCCATTTACTCCTCATAATCCTGCAAGAGCTAAATTATTAACTCCTTTTGGTTCTGAGGAAACCATGGCTCAAGGAGGATAATGACTTACTCAAAGTCACATGAATGTGATGTCAGAACTAGGACAAGAAGCCCGCTCATCTCATTACTGTAGTAGACAGAGGATTGTACACTCCAACAACTCCATCCTTGGCCCTCCGTCTTGTTCGTGTTTGCCCCGTGTACTCTCTTGGGGCTATGTGTTCCAGGCCCCTTGGAGATCAATATACATGCCTTAGAAATGTCCACCAAGGTCGGGATGGCGGGAAGCTTGCTTTGGCTTCCCATGAATCGGTTAGAGATAACATGCTCACTCCCCTTTCTGAACGCACAGGGGAATATTCTTTGGGAACATTCTATGGATTTTCAAAATGTCATCTTAAGTTGCAAAACTTCCCAGAAGACACTGAGTTCATGTGAACGGTGGCTCCTGGAGCTGTAAAATCCTCATGATGTTTTCTTGTGGACAATGCCATGTGCATACTCAGAATAAAGGATTCTTGGTTTTCTTCCTGGGAATGGGGCCACTGACAGAGTCTGGAAGCTCTTATAAACACATTTATTCAATTCTATCGTGTGTCACACACTACAAGCAAACAGCAGGTCTACAAACAGGCTAGTGAGGAAAACAATAGATCAAACAATTGTTTTTAAAAATTGTGGCATTTCTTTGGATTGAGTCATGACAGAAACTGATTGAGATTTTGCGGGAAGTCCCAGGACCCTCATTTAATTTCTGTGTTTTTGTATCTACAAGTTTTTGGCTATTAAATCTACCTAATCAAGACCTACTTCTTTCCAACGAAAGATCCTGACTAGAAGTTTGAGGCAAAGATGAAAATTAGAAAATGAGCTTTCTCAATTGTAGGTTAAGACACTGGTGGTTTGAAAATAAATCTCAAGTTCTATCTATTGAACCAGAACCGTTTTCGTCACCGTGCTTTCTGTCTTGCCTGAAGTAGTTTTCTCAACAAGTCATTGAAAACAGCATGATTGTTCAGCAAATCATTCACATTTTATGAGCATTCACCAAGAAAATCTTTTTAGAAATTACTTCTACTTCATCAGAGATGAACAATCAGGTAGTGCTGGACACAGTGGACATAAGATGAGCTGTAAATTCATCCACATCTTGTAAATGAACATTAATTACCTTGCTTGAGAAACAGGGAGGAGAGGGAACTACACAATATCTCAATACCTTAGTGTATTTGGAAATAAGGCTGGTCAGAGCTTCAGCCTTTATGTTACCAGAGATGGCATAATTAATTGTGTCACCAAGATGGTCTGATACATAAATTATTGAGACGGAAGGGAACTGGTGGCCCATGTTGTCTGGCCTTGGAGTCACCTCTTGGAAATTGCTTACAAACTATTGAGAATCAGATGTATGGGGTGACTCTGATGCATGTATCTTGTTAATCCCTCCAGATTACCATAAATTGTTGGCTCTTTGGGAATATTCTATGGATTTTCAAATTTCATTTTGAGTTTATAATAGATAATGAACCAAATAGTATTACTCTCAAGTAGTATCATTAACCTGATGTTTAACCATGGCAGAGATAAACCAATAGGACACATGATTTCTTTAAGGTCATCCACCCAGGACAGCATTTCTGGATCCTACTTTGCCTTCTAGTCCACTGCTCCATGTTAGGGTGTAAGATAGCAGGACACAATAATCCTAATCTTCATTCTGTCCATTTATCTAATTTTAAAAGGGAGAAATATCCATCTCAAGCATACCCAAATAGAACATTCCAGATGCTCTTGTACAGGCCTGAAAAAAAACATGTCAAGGTAAAAAAAAAAAAAAAAAAAAGTATATCAACCTGTTTTCTCTTGCCGTAAATCTAAAACCCTTGCACATTTTATATGTTTTATCTTTTTCTTGCTGTAAATAACCCAGTTTTCAACCAGATGTGATTTTTACTCCTCAGGGAAAGTTGACAACATCTGGAGACATTGTTGGTTGTCCCAACTGGGGTCAGAGGTACAGCTGACATATGTCAGGCAGAAGTCAGGGATGCTGCTAAGCGTCCTACAACCCCTGTAACAAAGAATTATCCAACCCAATGGCATGGGTGAGTTAAGTCTCCCCTCCAGGCTGACCTAACCCTGTTTTCTAATAGAAAGGACTATGTCATACGAGAGATCTCCACTCACCTTCCCGGGGTGAGGGATTTGAAAGAATGTGAGACAAAAACACATCACAGGGAGGACTGATACGGCACAGGGAATATAGTCCACGGTGTAAGAGTGTTGTAAGGTGACAGATGACAGCTTCACTTGTGGCCAGCATAGCATACGGTGTAGAGGTGGTAAGTCATTAGGTGGTACACTCAAAACTAATGTAACGTTGTGTGTCGACTGTACTTCAATTAAAAAAAAAAAAAAGAAACCAGAAGAGACCCTTCAAAACTGAGAACAAACTGAGGGTTGATGGGGGGTGGGAGGGAGGGGAGGGGGGGTGAGGGGCACTGAGGAGGGCACCTGTTGGGATGAGCACTGGGTGTTGTATGGAAACCAATTCGACAATAAGTTTCATATTAAAAAAAATAATAAAGGCCAAGTGAAAAAAAAAAAAGAAAGAAAAAATACTACCTTGAGGTGCTGTTCCTAGATGCTCACAGGAACATTTTGCTCTCAATGGTATTAAAGCCATTTCACAAACAAAACCCTTGTCACTTGCCTCTAGGAGAGTAAAGTGTAGCTCTAGGGCGTGATTCCTTTATTGTTCTGAAGTCAGAAAGACCTTGAAGATCTCTTTGAAAGGAAACAAATATGTGCTTTGTAACAACCAGTAAGTTTAATGGCTCCATAAACCTAACAGAACAGTCAAAAGTAATACTTTTCATCTATTATCTACTTCACAGTAAACAAAAATAAGAAGGATTGCGCTTGGTTTCAGTTGATAACTCTGTCATTTTAAGACTTCTGGCAACACTAGGATTCTTCTAACCGCAATCAAATGACTTAATTTATCTTACATTTTCAAATTTTGGTTGGGAGTAGGTATTAAGCATTTTGTAACTGCTTTGGGAATTTGAAAGGTTATTAGGTTCTGAATAACAGTCTCATGTTTTCCCACCAAACTTTTCCCAGCAGTGAATATATCTGGATCTTATTCTGGTTTTTTATTCTTTTTTTAGCTTCCTGAAATGACTCATGTTCAAACACGGCGACCCTGGTTGATGTTTCTCCTGCAGAACTTTGGATTGACCCTAGGTTGGCTTTCTCTCTTACTGTTGGCTATATATGAACAAAATATTAAAATATAAGTTAAGAGTCTCACACTTCTTCAAAAAACGAATTTATATGGCCTCCTTTTGTTTCTTTTGTCGTACTCTATACAGTGATTGTAAATTAATTATTGTTATCTTAGACGAAGTATGTGTCTTTTAGGTCATTAAGTTATTAATTTTATAAGGCACTTTTGTTTTAGGATACAAAGATCACGTTGCCCTCAATTGCAATTCTGGTTTTAGTCCCCAGCACCATGATGGAACTCGTATCTTTTTTAGTAATTAGGAAATTCTAAATTAATTCTGGGAAACTTTCAAACAATATTGTTTTGCTAATAAAGAACGTTTGTTTGTAGTATTTGAAGTGGACAGAGGCCTGTTGGGATAAATTGGCTGCAGCTTCTGTGATGTCAATAATATTTTTCTGCTTGTAAGATGACAAACCCCAAGGAAACTAAATGACAGACAAATGTAATAAAGCCTAGTGTTAATGTGGTGATTTGTATTACCTTCTGTTTCTGAGTGTCAGATTCTGAACCAACTCTTGCAAAACCAATATCGTATAGTTCTAGAAGCCTTGCCCACTGGCTCATAAGTGATGTTACATCAGCAAACTCAGGAAGCCTAGAGGATAATACATGAACATTCTATCTAATCACTAAATGAAACCTGTTTTAGGTAAGGAGAGCTGGAAACAAAAAGGGAAGTTCAAAAAAATGTTTTAAATAACAAAAGCTTAAGTCAGGCCGTAGATCAATGCATAAACTGTCACAGTTTTTGGTTTTTTTACATTTATTTATTTTTGAGAAACAGAGCATGAGCAGGGGAGGGGCAGAGAGAGAAGCAGACACAGAATCAGAAGCAGGCTCCAGGCTCCGAGCTGTCAGCACAGAGCCCGACACAGGGCTCAAACCCACAAACCCTGAGATCATGACCTGAGCCGAAGTCGGACGCTCAACTGAGTGAGCCACCCAGGCGCCCCTAAACTGTCACGGTTTTAACAGAGTGTGCTTATGGATATAATATTACTGACAGTGTGATATAGTTTATATTTTTGGGAGGAAATCTAAACATGATTCCAGTAGGTAAGTTCATGAAATGTGCAAACAACGTTACTGACAACCTAGCCAGTTTATTAAAATAGAAAATAACCCCGGCTTTAGTTATTTTCCTTGGAAAATAGAGGCCTAATATTTTTCTTATTTTTTTAATGATGTATCTTGACAAGGGAAAAGGCCCATTTGACTGCCAAAAAGACTCGTAGCAACCAATCCAATCCGTCTCTCCTGCCTTTCTTACCGGTAAATAGATATTCTGCCTTGTCCCACCCAAACTCGATCTTTTTCTACCACCTTTATTTGACTTCAAAGTGAGGCGGGTCTCTTCTTCAGTTGTCTCTAGAGCCTGATTTCAGGGGGCCTCATGACAAAGTACAGCAGTTCACAAATGGTGGCATCCAGTAAGAGTGAGGAGGGAACATAAGGCAAGCTGATAGGCCGCAAACATCCACACCCTCCCTCCCCAAGCAGGTGGGATGTGTGATATTCCTTGGGCACTCCTGGCTGCCCAAGAACAAAGGAAAGGGGGAAAAAACAAATGGTTAACTGATAGAGATCATTGTCCTGCAGGATCTAAGCCTCCATCACCCCTCCATAGTGATGTGGGGAACAAAGGCAGAAGGAAATGGCAGATAGAACTAAATTGCCTTCTAACCTGCAGCCCATTGACAAATACTTGGTGTTCCTCCAGGAACTCCCTGTGTCTTAATGCTAATGCTTTGCTAAAGGGAAAAACAACCCTAGCTTGACAATAGCTAGGCCTCCAGTATCCCTTGAGTCTTCCTTAGCATATGAAAATCTCGCTGGAAACTTCCCCTGGACTTCCCCCGCCTCCCCACTCCATAGTATATAACCAGCCTCTCTTCATGGTCCTGGGGCAGCTCTTCCTGTCCTAGTCCCCGTGCTTTAATAAAATCACCTTTTTGCACCAAAGACAACTTCAAGAATTCTTTTTTGGCCGTCGGTTCCGGACCCCGTGAATCCCACTGTCACCCCAAAAAGCCTCATCAGGATCAACCAGGGGACTTCTTAAAACACAGACTATTCCTCCCCATCCCGAGAGTTTCCGATTCTGTGAGTCTGGGTAGGGTTTGAGACTTTGATTTTGAGCGGCTTCCAGGTGATCGTGATGCTGCTCGTTGAGGCACTCCTGGAGCTCCGCCGGCTCGGTAGAAGTCAGCCACAGCTGGCTTCGAGAAAGAGCAGGCACACAGCCCGGCTGCCCAAGGACCGTGTGATTCCCGTTAAGTTGATTAACCACTCTGTAAACCTCACACTAGGCCAGCATTCTAGGTTGGAACTCCTTTCCCTTTGCCTCCTGGTCTCGGAGCAGAGGATCAGTTACAGGAGTTACTGGATGAGGAGTCCAGAGACCTGCGCTTGTCCTCATAGTCGCCTTAAAGGTAAGCAGCCGCGACACCTAGAGCTTTGCCCTTCTTTTGTTAAAAAAGAGACACTCGTTTGTAGCGGAACAAAACCACCTTTGTGGTCAACACGGTGTGGAGGTTGCGTGCTAGAAGCACCTGGTGCCATTTGCGTTTTGGTCTCTATGACCCAAGTTCTGATTTTGACATGGAGCCTGAGTTTGTGCCAATTTAATTGGGAAAGTTCTGCTGGGTAAATTATTTCAAGTTCAAGTCTAGCGCCGTTTGGGGCTAGCTAAATTACAATTTGGGGGGGGGGGAGCGACTCACAGCGTAACGTTCCAGGGAGAGTGAATTGAATTTGACCTCTAGGACGAGTTTGTGGGTACGGTGCAGAGGGGCTGGAGTGATTGGAAGGACGTTCTCGGTGAACGTTTTGCAAGCCTGTACCTAGTGCCCTGATGGTAAACAGAGTCCTGGCCATCAGAGGTCATCTGTAGGATGTCACCCTAAGGATACGGGGGTAATGACTTCTGAGGGGCACCTTTCTGGGCTCAGCACTCCTTCCTTCTGCTCCCTGAGCTGGCTCCTTGCTAATCTACTGAGCAACCCCGTAGCCTGCGAGGGACTTCCAGCCACAAGCAATCTTAGAATTGCCAGCAATTCTGTTTTCCTCAAAACTGAGGGGTAATGATAAAAATATTAGGACAACTCTTCGCCTTCTAAATATGGGCAGAGTCTCAATTTGGGATGGCTGCACAGCGTCATCCCGTGAAGTTACCTAAATTCACGTGTTCCTGAAATTCGGGGTAAATGGCGTTTTTCCTGAGGCCGGATTTCTCAATAACCGTAGAGTCTTTCTGTTTACTAGGCCTAAATTTAGGATTCCGCTGTAGTTCTACTTGGTGATTGATTTCTTTTGTCGTCACTGAGCTAGAAATGGTCCAAGAGAAAAATAAAAGAGCAAATCACACAGAAATCTTATGTGAACAGCCATCTTTATGGAAGACGTCACCATGTTGCTGTGATGCCAAGTGCTGAGCCTGGGGAGATGGTTCCAGCACTGCGTGCTTCAGGGCGAGAGGGTTCTGCGTGTGTGCTCATGCGTTGTGGCCAATACCACTCTGCCCAGAACCCAGACTTTGGAGGTGAGACTGTGCCTCTTGCTGAAAGACGCACCCGTCAGGACGCTGCATTTTTACACTTCCTTTCTCCTTCAGAGCTGAGGGGAAGGGTCCTACCATTTGGCTGCTAATCGCTAGGGTACACGGGATTAATCAGGTGGGGGGTTTTGTGTGATCATTAAAAAAATCAGGCTTTTTTGAAACTGGAATCTTGGTTCAGAGACCAATGCTGCCACTTAATAGTCTTGCAACTTGCTAAACAGCTATTTCTTCTCATGTAAAATAAGGCTAAAAAGGGAACCTAACTCCTAGGGTTGTGGTGAGGTCCTTAGGAGACTCTTACTGCTCATGAGGCCCTTAGCTCAGTGCCTGCAGAATGGAAATGGATCTATAAAGAGGAATTTATCATCGGTACCCCCTTGGTCGTCGGTTCTGTGGTTTACCTCCCAGGGCTGTGCTTTGGGTCAAGGAAATGTTTTGTCTTGGTGGAGAATGGAGAGCAAGGGTTTTTCTGTAATCCTCTTGTGACACCTCCAAGCCAGCCCCGGCCGGTCCTTCAAAGCTGCCTTTCACCTTTACTCACTTCTGGAGCCGGAGAGATGGGGGTCCCCTCTGGTGGACCCTACTCTGCTCATCTCCCTGGGAAGCCTTCAACCATCATGATTGCCCTCAGTGTGAGCCCCGCCGCCCCCCCCCCCTTTCTCTTTCTCTCTCATAATAAATGAAAACCTATTATGTTCTGCTCCACTCACACTTATAAGGCTGTGGAGGTTCAATGATGGAGCCTGACGGAGAGAAACCTGAGGCCACGGCTATTGTCACAACTTGATTTCAACTCGGGGAGACAAAAAGTAGTTCCACCAATTGCCCCTGTTACCATGCACCTGCTGAGGGAATGAAACCAGGTCTGAAAAGAGTCCGGCCCCATCAGGGTAAGCGGAGCCTCTGCCTGCTGGAGGCCTGGCCTGTCTAAACAGCCAGATGCCCTCTGGCTGGCAGCACACACAGCCCGCGCTGGACCCCGACGTCACCATGGATGGTGGCACTCTACCTCACCCAGGCGCTGCGCCTCCCCCTAGTGCCGTAGCTCCCCTCGCTGTGGCGCGATGAGCCCCACATGCTCACACTTTTACTTAAGGAGGCAACTCTCAAAACCCAACGGAAATTGTAGGGAGTTTGAGAAGCTAACGAGGCTTTCCCAAACCCAGAGTGATCTTACCCCACAGCCATCGCTTCTTTGAAGGGCCTACCTATGAAATGCGTTTGCTCAACCTGACTGTACCCACCCCGCCCTGCCCCTGCCTCCATGTCCAAATCTCAGTGGCAGATATTTGTCGCGTGGACCTTCCCCCTGCACATTCCGTGACACCCCACCCCCGATGCACACACCCCTTAACCCTTTTCGCAAAGACTTTTGTTTCTCAGAAGCTTTCCTCTCATTATATAACTAACTCCCTCCACCTCCCTAGTCATACTGCATAACATCAAAA